ACATCGGGCAGAGATCCTCTCCAACTTCTGACGTAGACCTGGCATCCAGAGGTGAGGTCATACCAACTCAAGTGCCTTTTTAGGGGAGAGGTGCATGCTGGAGGGGAAGTCTCGTAGCCAGGTTTCTGCCATCTGTTCGGGTAAACACAGTATTCCTCCTGGCAGCTACCACCATCCTGCATCTCCTTCTTCCCCTTCATGGTCCTTTATATAATCTTTCCCAGCTTCAGTATATTTGGGGGGTGTTTCAGGCCACTGGGTCTGAGGCATTAATGTTAATATTTGTAGTGGCCCCACTGGCTGTTGAGCCACCTGTTTTGCTTCTCTATCAGCTAGAGCGTTGCCCTGTATCTGGGGACTATTTCCCTTTTGGTGTGCTGGCCAATGGATAATGCCTACTGCTCAGGGGGCCCACACAGCTTCCAGTAGGGCTGAGATCTCTTCTTTAATTTTTATGCCTTTTCCTTCTGATGTTCTTGTACATCTACACCCAAGCAAAGCAAGCCTGGGAGCCCTTTCTGCTGGAGGATTTCCTTGTCCCAGTTCTAAGACCAGCTAAAGATTTCCAGTAGGGCTGAGATCTCTTCTTTAATTTTTATGCCTTTTCCTTCTGATGTTCTTGTACATCTACACCCAAGCAAAGCAAGCCTGGGAGCCCTTTCTGCTGGAGGATTTCCTTGTCCCAGTTCTAAGACCAGCTAAAGATGACGTTTGTGTTAGTATTGATTCTAAACAGATGTTGAGAAGGACAGAGCTGTAGTTCTAGTGTGGCCACTTTCATTGTATTTTCTATAGTTTCTTCAGCTGTGAGGCAATCTTTGTATTTCTCTGATGGTGGGATTTCTTGACATCAGTGAGTGACCTGACAGATGTGATCTTCCTAAGTCTCTATTGGATTGCAGTTAACTGTAGCCCTCATATCCTGGGCTCTTCAGCTCTGTGCTCTGGAGTTCTGTGCTGTGGCAATCTGTATAGCAATGGGATTAGCTGTGGCTGTCTGGCACCATGTGCTCCTAGAAGGACATGCAACCCTGAGTAAAGACATGAATGGATTGCAGGTGGTGCCTGCTCAAAGTTTCTGGCACAGAATAACTACTTTGCACAAACTATGCAAACTTTTGTTTCTGCACTGATAAATACTTCTTCAGCTTTTATTTTTTTGTGAAAAGGAAACAGTGTCTGTATAATCATAGAATTATTCAGGTTAGAAGGAACCCTAGGAGGCCATCTAGGCCAGGCTACTGCTTGAAACAAGGTCTCATTCACTGTGGATGTATTTATAAACTTTTTAGCTTAACGGCACCCCTTCCTTTAATACCATCCTTCTTCTACTTTCTAATCAGCCTTTACCTCCATAAAAGCATGTATTTGACAGTGCCCAAAAGATTTGACAATTCCCAAAAGATTAGATGAAGATAGAGGGATGGTGACTGAATTCTTCATGCAGAAGCTTGTTGCGAAAAATCAAGTCTTCAGCCTGAGGGCTACTTGCCTGATTGAGTCTTTTTTTTTTTTTTTTTTTTTTTTTTTTTTTTTGAATGTTATGCTAGAATGTAAATGTTAAATTTTAAACAAGAACAAAAAAAACAATATTTATTTGGAAAAAAATCTGCTTTGTGTTCTTGGGATCAGTATCAAAATCCAGTTGGTGCATAGTCCTTAAGCTCGTGTTTCTTTTCAGTGGTGCAGGGGAAATGTCATTCTTGTATTTGGGCTGCAACAGAAAACTGACAGCTAGCAACAAGTTGAAGATTTACATGCCGTGTGTTTAAGAATGTCTGAGGTTTTATTTTAATCATCGTTCACGTTGCTTTTTGTCATCTACAGCACAACACTTAACTAACTGGCTAACTTTGTGGTTGGAAAGTTTTGGTGTATGACTGTAGTATAGTGAGTATAAATACATTTTATGTAGATTTGCATAGAGTTTAAATTATTCTGCAAATTTAGGGGAAAACAACTTCTGCAGTAGGATAGAAATCAGTGTGGCCTACTTGCCTGGATATTCATTTAGGGCTTACCAAGAAGTTCTGCAGCTTTTTTTCTGCTGTGGTAACATAACTAGGTTAATACGAAGTGTGAACTTCAGCTGACTGGTATGTATATGTAGTAGTAGCTAATGGAATATTTACAAGGCAAATATATATTTCTATGGAGATAAAATGCATGCTTTTTTATAGCTCGTTTTTATATTACCTAAGAGTGACCAGGTAATAGTGACTAATTACCTAAAAATCAACTTCTGTCTTACAGCTTGCCTTGAAGGGATCTAACTACGCTGGTCTCCTGGAGCGACATGGCGTTCACACCAAAAATGTGGAGCATGTTGTAGACAGCTTACGGTAAGGCTGGAGGTGCCTGAAGATTTCAGGCACAGCACAGATAGCAATGGATTGTGTTAAGCAATGAAACAAGCTCTGTGTGACCAATGCTAATGAAATAGGAATACTGAAAGCAGGGTGATGTAGGTGGACGGTAATTGCTGAAGCCATCTTAATGTGTAATAGTTCTGTGCACTTAACTAACACACCTTGAAAACAAATGAAAAAGATGCGAAGCACTTGTGTGAGAATCAAATGCTTGTAAACTAAATACCACTGTAATTAGTCCTTAATTACATGTCAATTTTTTAGAAGGATGTGACAAGGAACAATATAGGACACATTCACACTTTTTCCTGCACTTTATAGGAACGAGAGGATAGAAGTCCGTCTTGTTAAACGTCGTGAATATAATGAAGAGACAGTTCGGTGGGCAGATGCTGTTATATCAGCAGGAGGTATGACTCTGTGGTGGGGAAGTATTTATTTCAATATGTTTTCATAGATAAACTATCAATGTTTGCAGTGTGTGACGCGTCTGGAGGTATGCTCATTTTGAAAATAAGTTGCTGATGCATTTGTCAAAAAACAGGGAAAAAATGCAATGACTGTGACCCTCCTCTCCTCTAGTATTTGTAGCATTAGGTGATTGCTGAGGCTTGCTCACTTTGGAAAAACTTAGTACTGTCTTGTGTCAGACAACCGAAGTCAACTGTAGTTTTCAGCTAAAGAGGGCTAAAGATTTGTTGTCATATGAATGCATATAGCCCTAAACTCTACTTTCTGGTTTTAGGTGTGTGAGGTAAAACTAGCACTTTATATAGCACTTTAGTAATGCTTTAAAGAACACCCTCTAAGTTTTTCAGAACCCATATCTTGGTGTAAATACTGTTTCAGATTATGGTTGCCCTTCTGTTTAAGGGACAGGAAAGAGACTGCTACATATCTGAAGAAATTGGGAACACTTAGATTTCTATTTAAACAATTTTTTTCTAAGACTATTTTTCTTCAGTTTTGTGTATTTGGAACCAAATAAGACTTTTAAATTATGCCTGATAAGAAAAAAATGAAACAACTAAAGCTACTGTTTTCATGTGATTTGCAGTAAGATCTGATATTATGCTGTTTCCTGTCTCCTGTGGAGATAGGGTAGTATTTACCTACTCCTGACAGTATTTACCAAACATTTGCTATTAAAAAGAGTCTCTTATTTGCTCTGAAACTTGCTTCTGCCAAATTCATTTGGGTATGTATAGCTGTTGGAGTAGTATTTTTTTCATTTTGTCATCTTTAATTTGGTTGTCACTATTCAGTTTTAAATAATTTCAGTAATTTTCCTGTTCCATTTTATTTTTGTGCAACCTACCTAATCAGTTGTTGACACAAAGTTTGCAATAATAATGCTTCAATTCATGGGTGATTTCGTTGGGAATGCTAAAATGTTAAATGAAACTAGCTCTTTATTTTTCTGGCCTTTTTTCTTGTAGGTGATGGTACAATGTTGCTGGCAGCCAGTAAGGTCTTCAATAAATTTAAACCAGTTATTGGAGTAAATACTGATCCTGAAAGGTAAGATAAACAGTTCATTAAGATATTTGGGAAAGCCATATTTCATATCAGGTACCATATATATCTGTTTTTTTCATGATACTCAATTGTTTCATAGCAGCTCTGAAAGTTTTTGATCACACATCACAGTGACTCCTGATCCCTTGTTTATATCCTTTTCAAAAATTATTTCTTGTTTCATTTTGATTGTCATTCTCTGTTGCAGCTTGGAGCGGGTCTGGAATGCCAGACATCAGCTTCATAGAAGCTGGAACTGACTTCGTTTATTAGCTTTTCATGCAGTACATTTATATGATTCTTAACAATTAGTGATGTAATTACACAGGCTCCTAATTGGTAGACAATGATCTAACTCAGACCCTTACAGCCCCCCTTACTTGTTTAGCTCATCCTTTTAGTTCAACAGCTCTTTTATTCCCTCTGACCTTGGTCTACTTTCTTATCTCCTAGTTAGCACTCCCTTTGTTCTTTCACTGAAACCTGAAGGCTGGAATTGAGCAGGCCTGCTGGGCAGCCATGTACGCGGCTCTCTAGCCATCCCTCTACACTGTTTTGAAGTTGGTTTCCAGTTAAGGCCTCTGCCATTTTCTCTGTCACCCATCCGATTTCAGAAACCAAGCATAGATAATTACTCTTGAGGTAACACTCGTCGGCAGGATACTGAGACTGAGTATTCTCTTGAGTTAGCAGATTAGAGGGTTGCTGACAGACTCCCAACTCGGCAGGCGTCCCCGCAGAGACAACGTGGGTCTCAGTGTTAGGAGTCTCACCGCCCCCCCCCTTTACGCTCTGCTTTATCTGTTTAAGCCCGGTGCATCCTGTCACGTAGGGCCAGTACGTGCCAGCAGGCAGACCGGGGCGGGTGGACAAACTCCACCTTCAGTCACATAACCTTCCCTCCTGGTCGTGCAGGTGCGCATACCAGTAAGTGGTCGCAACCGTCAGTCTGAGGGTCTTGCCTTTCTCATCTCCTCCCTCTCGGGTGTTTGACCTTCAAACTAATTTAGAGGATGTTTGCAGTTAAGTTGGCTACAAGCCCGGT